TTTATTTAAAGTCAGTAAGAGTAAATTTGCCCCTTTTAAAAGTTCAGGGGGTATATGTTCACTTCTAAATAATCTTCAGGGGTATATTTGTCTCACACCCAGGGGTATATTTGTACTTTTTCTCCTTGATGTAAACACTAGGTGTAATTTCATAATAATATCGGGACACATAAATTAAGAAAGTGTCACACAATATTTTTGAGAAAAAATAACTTAATTATTATTGATAAAGGTAACAAGCAATATAACAACAAAAAGACAAAGCATTATAATCATAACATTCAATGCTAGCTCCTACCTTAATAGTACTTCTAATGAAGTGTGAGTTGAATAGTAACAAAAAAAACCTTCCCACTTTCCTTTTTCGTCTGTAACAAAAAAATCTCCCCATTTCTAAATCTTCTCATCATACCCTCAATAATTCTTAAAATAATACACTATTACAACTACTTTTTCTGGATTTATCCTACATTCCATCACATTATTCCACTATCTTCCCATCATACCCTCAATAACTCATATCATCTTTCACTATTCTTAATCTACCTACTTTTGAAATTGGAATGTTTTTATGTTACGGAGGTATATTGTTAAAAGTGAATAGATCTTTTTTAACGGACATATATTCCTTCTCCATTCAAAACCCTCTACTCCCGGAACCCACAATCTAACGATTCTTTCCCGAGATTGATTTTCAAGAATTCGATAGCCCAAGGTAGGGGTGGGCACGGTCTGGTCTGGTCCAATATTTGGCCGAACCCGTACCCGTACCCGTACCGTTACTATTGAAACGGTTCGGTTCGGTTCGGTCTTAAACCTAAACCCGTTCGGTACGGTCCATTTTCAAAGGGGACGGTACCATGCCATACCAATGCCAAATAATGCCACTTTTTTCAAGTGTTTAAGGAAAAATTAAAGTTTAGACATCCTCCAAAAATCCACACAATTTAACAATTTTCATATTTCATACTACTTCTGTTCCAAAATGATTTGCAAAAGTCATCCTTTTTTTTGGTCAAATAGTTTTTTATTCATTTAATTAAGATTTCACTTTTTAATTATATTCTAATTTGGCCTTTGAGAAAATAATACTTCGTATATTCTAATTTGGATTTTGCAACTTTAAAGATATTTTAATTGTGTTTCTACATATGTAAATTTTAATTATTAAAAATTGTACGGATTATTAATTATCATTAGGGAGGACTTAACATTAACATTGATAAAAAATGTTGACTTTGCAAATCAATTTGGGACGGATAATGTAACTAATAAATTTTAGATAAACTATAATAGTACAAATTTAAATAATTTAACTATATTTCGGTCCGGTTCGGTCCGGTACCGGTTCTCATTTTATGAGAACCCGTCATGACATTGTTTGGAACCGGTACGGTCCGGTTAGGGACAAAAAAAATTGAGATCCGTTTCAAACCTCGTTTATCGGTTCGGTACCATACCGGTCCGGTTTGGTACCATGACGGTTCGGTATTTTTGCCCGCCCCTAGCCCAAGGCCACAACGTGTATCAAATAAAAAGAAGTCTTCATATGAAAAATGATAATAAATAATACGGAATACATAAATAATAATAATAAAAAATGTTTATCATCAAACTTCAAATTTTCTCTCAAATACACTTTCAATGGATAAATTAGTAAAATTAAACAAGAAAATCATATTTTTTCACTTCTTTTTAATTTTAAGTTTACAAATTTGTACTCCCTCCGTCCCGAAAAGGTTGGCCGAATTTCTTTTTTTGGATGTCCCAAAAAGATTTGTCATTTTCATTTAAAGTAAGGAATATGTGGCTAAAGTTAATTCTCTCTCCTCTGCACAAATATCAAACACATATTTTTTACTTTATTAATCCACGTGAAAGTTCACTTTAGCTAACCTTTTCGGGACGAAGAGAGTACTGCTTATTTGGAGAAGCAAGATGATAAGCTGACAAAAAAGGGAAAGGAGGCACGTCCTGGGTACCAACCCCGTCTTGGTATGTGACGAGTTCATCTCTTTCATATTGCACTTTTAGCGGTCTCCTTGAAAGACATTTTCATTTCATTGATTTCTACTTTGTTATTTATTTTGATTCAGACTTTGTCTTGCTATTTTTTTTGTTCCTTTGAGAACTTTGAGGATGAGATTGGATGATGAGGAATCTTTTTGGTTCGTTGTTGGCTTAGTTGTGCATATTATAGAATCAACGAGTTATAATGCCTTTTGGATGGTGATTAACTCTAAGTTTGATTCCAAGTCTAGTGATCAAGATGTGACATTTTGTCTTGATTTGCCTTGTCTGAATTCGGATCTTACTATATAATAAGCCATTTACAACAACAAAAACAGCATTGCTTTTATCTTATTGGTATTGATAAGAATATGTAATTTTGATGAGAAAAAAACAAAAAAGAAAAGCATAATTGTTGAAAAATGTGAAATTTGAGTCTTTTTTTATATAAATAATAGAATAGATTTGTGAATTTGATGATAGTTTAAGATAAAATAAAATAATCATTCTATTTTTAACAAAATAGGATAATTCTATTAAAATAAGTTAAAATTTAAATACAATTAAACAAAGCTGCTTATTTATTTTTCAGTTATAATCTTATTAAACCTGACTTTTTCTATTCAAAATATTACCATATTGTAATACCTAGTATCAGTCACTAAATTTGATTCAATATTACTCGCACCGTCCCAATTTGTTTTGCAAAGTCAACATTTTTTAGTCAACCAATAATAAAAGTCAATCCTTCCTAGCGATAATTAATTCAATTTTTAATAATTGAAATTTACATATTCAAAAAATACATTAAAATCTCTTCATAGTTGTAATTCCAAATTAGAATATAATAAAAAATTGACATCCTAATTAAGTGAATAAAATGAGACTGTTTGACTAAGAAAAGTCAAATTTGCAATTCTTTTTTAGACGAATGTAGTATCATTTTACTACGTAACTATATATTCACCAAAATACATAGCTATTATTTTACTACGTAACTGTATCAAAATACGGAGTATTTTTTTTTCCCAAACTGTATCAAAATATATACTACGGTATTATTTTCTTTCAAAAAAATTCGTTATATTATTTCAAAATTAGATTACTGTTGATATGATGGATTGTAATTAATTTATAAATGGGCAATGTCAGCACATAACAGCTAGTCACCGCCACACTGTCTTCTACGGGTGTAAATGTGTCATAACTTGCCAGAAAATTTGATGTTGAAACTCATGTACTCAAGACCACGTTTGTCTCTATGAATAAAGTGACATACTAATTAAATATTCTTCCAGTCCCTTAAAATTTTGTCAACTTTCATTTTTAATAAAACCTTTGTTGTTCTAGATAATTCTTTCTTCTCTACAAAATTTTTAACTATACAGTTTTTAGTTTATTAATCCTGGTGCCGATCAAACTTCGTAAAGTTTTAAGAGACATAGAGAGTAGTGTTTCCCAATTTGTGTGGTACTCTTTCCGTCTCTTAAAAACTTTCTAATATGTAAGATGCACAACTAGAGTTTTAACCGAACGTTGCTCCAATGAATTTTGAAAATGTTTGAATACTTTATAAGATATACTCCGTATATCTTATACATTATATAAATAATTTATCATTTTACTTTAGATTAGAGGACTGTTCGTTGTGAGTAGTAAATTAATTAAAGAGAATATATTAAAAATTTACATTTTAAACTAAAACCAAACATCACATTGTTAGAATTTGAGAAACCTCCTTATATACCACATTCACTGTCTTGGTGAATAAATTTGTTTATTTTGATCATATGAATATATTAAGACGACTTTGCTCACTACTATTGGTATTGCAACTTGTATCCCAAGGTATAAATCAAGTTTTATGTGATACTACCTCCGTCCAGGGGCTGAGGTGGAGGGGTGGCCAACCGGGCCACAGCCCTACCCAAATTTTAAAATTGCTTATATTTTTAATGTAAAAATTTATATGTAAAAATTTATTTGTAAAAATTCTTTGTACCGGCCTAGTCTAACTCTTACTCTTGGCTACGCCCCTGCCTTCGTCCCACTATGTTTGGGGACAAAGGGGTGTGGCACAACTTTTAATAAAAAAGTGCAATTATGTGATTAGTATTGAGGTGATAAAGTATGAATAAAGTAATAATAAATTGTAACCACCCAAAGATTACCAAATATGGTATGAGACAAACATAATGGGACGGATGAAAAAGGCAAAACGGGACAAAGTTAGGGGACATAGAAAGTAACATTTAGACTTGTTTTTATTGATTGTCATTGCAAAACTTGTTATAACAATAGATTGCTTTCTTCACAATTTTAATAAAGTTGTCATATGGTGACAATGTGATTCTCAATACTCCGTATGTAAACTTTATCTTTCAAAGCTTTTCGAGTTATGACTTGTCAAACGGGACACCGGGAAGGGACATGATATTTTCTAGCTATCTCGGTCCCGTCCGGGTTAATATCGGTACAGAACCGGTTCAGAATGAAAAAACTGCATCTTAAATGGATCGGGATAGTTTCGAAACGGTATCGGAATTTTCGGTTTGGGATACCGGGATCGGGATTTTTGCCCACCCCTAACATAAAGTAAAGTTGTCACTTCAATATGTATTATTCTAAATGCAAAAAGGACCACTCATCGCATGAGATTATGAGAACTATTTGAACAAAGATTGAACCATTCAGATCCGAAAAGCAACCGCTAGATGATGGTTCCTAGGAATAAGCAAGAATATACGTTGCTAGAAATCAAGAAACTAATTTGTCAACTACTTAGAACTTTAGAAGACCTTACTCTTTTAAATTTATTGAAGGACACTTTTTTGCAAGACTTTTGATGCTTAAACAGTTGAAAACATTGTTTTTGAATAAAAAACACCTTAAGCACTATTGCATATTGCACAACCAAACCCATCTTTATCAGGGTATTATCATTATTAATAGTCCTGTATTATAAAAAGCAGCCCGAAAAATCGGTAATGGTGAAGTTAAATAGCTCCACCAGCGTTCAGTAGCTGGGCGCCTGGGCTAGCTACTAATAATACCACAATTAAAGAAAACTCTAAAAGGAAAAAGAATGACTGAAAAGGAAGAGTGTATAGAGATGAAGAAGAAGATGAGCCCAAGAGTTGTGATTGACACCTCCCCGCCATTCGAGTCTGTCAAGGAAGCGGTGGACCGTTTTGGCGGGAGTGGCCCTTGGTTTCCCCATCACCTCCTCCGAATGCCTCTTCCTGTGAGTACTTTAAATTACTCGTCTTTTTTGTTTATACTACTTCTGACCCCATACTTCACACTTTCCTTTTTCGACTGTTCCAAAATACTTTCTTTATATAGAAAAGATTCCGTGATTCATATTATTCTTTTTTTCTCGACAACTTTCAAGAGCAAAAGAACATTTTATTTCTTTCTTTTTGTGACGACTTTCAATTTCTGTTTTTTATTAGGAGGAAAATCCGGGCGCGTTAGAACTAAACAAAATGGAAGAGGGAACGAATGATTTCGAACGGGGTTTGATCATGAAGGAGCAAGAAGCACTTAATGTGTTGAAAGAAGTGGAAGCAGCAAAACGATATGTAGAAGGATTAAAATTAAATCTGATGGAAGATGAAGTTTCTGCTTCTTCCTCTTCTTCTTCTATGTCATCAAGCCCGGGTTTTAGCCCATCAGAAAGATTGGCTGCTTTTACGCCCATTCCTTCCCCGGGCAATGTTCTGATGGAGTTGAACCAAGCAAAGGAGGACCTCAATAAGATGTCGATGGACCTTTCTGTCATCCGCACTTCTGTCCAGTCTCTCAACAAGGAAGTTAAGAATGAAAGGAGGCTTCTTAGTGAGAACGGTGGAAGGGAATGTCTCGAGAGGGGTGTTGAGGAAAGTATGAATGAGATTGATGATGAAGAGGACTGGGGGGTGAACTTTGAGTCTGAACAGTGTAAGAAAATGGCAGATGCATCAAGCTATCAGGTCATGAAGGCAACGCTAGATATCGAACGAATGAAGGTATTCGTCTTGAAGTACTCCGTATATAGTAATGTATAGTATTCAAAATCATTTTCATGTTATAATGCGGAAAGATTTTGAAACAAAGTTAGACTGTTTTTTATGGTGAAAACAAAGTTAGACTTAAAAAATAAAAAAATCAACCTAATTGTGAGCATGGGATAACTTAGGATTAACATTTTTCTGGTTTGTTCTGGTCTAGCCCGTGTAAGGTTGGTAAGGTATGGTATGATCTATTTAAGACAGTTTTCGGTATGTCTATTTTACTACTACATACATCCTATTACTCAAGTCTAATCTAGTAATCTAGCCTGGTATGCTGAAACAAGTATGCTTTCGCCCTTTTGAGCATAAACCTAATCAATTGTAAAACCATTAATGTTTTTGAAAGTAAGATTACTATATGTCTGAATTTATACATTTATATTAATATGTACTCTGTATGAATCAACAAAAGGAAAGCATGAAGATGGCTGAGCTGAGGTTGACTGCGGCCAAGAAGATAGAGGAAGCTGTCAGAGCCTTGGAAGCCATTGCCATTGCTGAAAGGAAGGCATTATTGAATGCCAAACGCTGTTTTCAGGTAGCCTCTGCTAAGGAGATGACACTCCTGGATGAGAAACAATACCCCCTAACACCAAAAATTGAAGAACAGTGCAAGACCAAATTTGTAGACTCAAATGCAGAAGTTATCATCTCCGGAAAGAAGCAATTAGAATCCATTCAAAACCACAAGAACCACAACCACCCAAAAGAAGCTCTGGGTCATTTAGCTAGGTTAAGGGATTCACAGCCTGCTAAGATCCTGGAGGAAAAAGAACCAAACACGCCAAAAGACAAACAGGTTCCGGGCTTCAGGTCTTCAGTCTCAATTGGGGACGTGCTGAGCAGAAAGGTGGACGATGAAGATGATGAAACAGAGAAACATCATCCTGTGCTATTTAGCCAGATGCTTCGAGAGCAGAGCGGGATCTCATTGGGTGCCGGCAAGCCTGGGAAATATGTTTCGCAGAGGAAGAAGTTTGGGTTCATACAAGTTCCTCTTGCAAATAAACAGAACAAGAAAAGGGGTCAATGAATTAACCTTGATGCCAATCTGTCATCACGCTGAGGTTTTCTTTCCTTTTTGGTATACGAGGACAGGAAATGAGACGGAGCAAGGATGTTTTTTATCATTTCGTTTGTTTAAATATGATCTAGTCTAATCCCAGGCTTAAAACACTGCAAGTAAAAACATCATCTCTCCTAACTTCCCAATAACTCCTGTTTAATGCAATATATTGAAATTCAGTATATTAGATCCTATAATTAAATAAAAAAAAGTCAAAAACTTGTGTTATAATTATTTATATGCATAACTCCCACTATGAACAAATTTAATGGTGAAATTAAAAAATGATTACCATTTTTGTATAATTTAGAGATGTTGACAAGTCAACTTGCAGATTCACTCATAATATTAAGAAAAGTCATTTCTAAATTGTTCACAAAAGAGGTTATGCGAATGAATAATTATTATAACGTAAAGGGAATTGATTCATTTATTAAATGATATAGAGTTAATGTGCTAGATTTCTATATCACAAATGGACTTAGTGTATTAGAGTCCAATAATCTACCTTAAACACTTCAAAGATGAAAAGTGAAAGTTTGATATTAACATGGAAGGAATTGCACAAACTAGAAATAAATCATACCCAAAATTCATTAAGTGGAATTCTATTGTTTTTGTTTTCAAAATAAAACTTGTTTAGCAACTTAGCTTAAAAAGAATAAACCAATACAAATAATGTTGTCTATATACAAACAACTTCTGCATTTCCGAACGTATTGCTTATATACGGATAACTTTGTTTGTGTAGGCAGATAAAAGTGTGCGAATGATGTACACAAAAATGTGCACACCAAGCATATTTGAAAATGAATAACATTCTGGTCTTATCAAAATTATTTATCAAAACTCAAAACATCGAATTAAATGCACTTGTTATCGAAATAACCGTGCCTTGGTCCAATTCCAATGAAATCATAGTGCACAATACCACGATTTGCTTGAAATTCTTTCATTTGCCCAAATTGCCTTGCTATTTCTTAATACTAGTTTCTCGTGGTGAGCCTTGTGTATCCTCACTGGTTGTGTCATGTGATATTTAAGCAACTCCGTCAAGATGAAAGAAACAATCAACTCTTATAAACCCTCTGAAACATTAGAGGTCATATTCCTGGAAACATTAGTGGCCCTGTGATAAGCATAATAATTACTTATGTTTTACATAGGTAATTATATTTATCAGTACAAAATATAAAGCGAAAACAGGTAAATATTCCCGAGTGAGTAAAAATATGAAATACGGCTTGGAGCGACAAAAATAGGGTCAAAAGTAAAAAGGGGTAAAAAACCGGCACTATTGGATCAATTTCGGACATCGAAAGAAGAATAGAAGCGAAGTAAAAATTTTGGCGCTACAACCGGCGCCGGTCAGTCTATATCTGGCGCCGGTCAGATTGTTTTTTCAGCATTTGAGCCTGTTTTCAACCGGCCCAGGAGCAACCGGTGCATTTTTTCGCATGACCGGCACCGGTCAGCCTAGAACTGGCAGCCGATTTTCTGCTAAAACACAGCGATGTGCAAGCCATTTCTTGATGGGAAAACTTCATCTTCGCCATTGTTGATCAAATATTGCCTCCATATCTGATTGTTGGGCTTGAATAGACTAAAAGATGTCATTTTTAGCCTATATAAAGAAGCACTCAATTCATCAAACAAAAGCATTCCATTCCATAGATTAATTTCTAACTTTTATATTTTGTTCTTGCTATTTTTCAACAAGTTCTTGAGGAGGAAACTTCAACCTCCGAAATCATTGGTGTTTAGGTATTATTTCCTTTGTAATTCCATGTTCTATTACATTTCAATATTGTGTTGTGATTAATATGAGCATTAGAAGCTAATTTCTTAGCTAAGGCTAGAGATGAACCTCTATGCAATCTAGAACCTCCTCAGCGCACTAGCTGGTTCCAATTTTCCAACCTCCATATTCTTACCGATTTAGGGTTAGGAGAACAGATGTCATTTATGAAGTTTATAAAAATTGCGAAATTATATATATATATATATAATGCAATTTTTCAAAATAATTTATTTAAATGATTTCCCGATTAAATTTTAGTATGAAATTTGGTGGAGGTAATCTACGTTTCATGAAAAAAGTGCTCACAAGATTTTATAAAATAATTGAAACGGAAGCACCTCAAATGAAAGAGGCTATAAATTTGTAAATTTTAGGTCTACCTTACATCAACAAACATTTTTCTTTATGAATTTATATGAGCTTATGTCTAAAATATTTCTTTAAAAAAAGAGGTATGGATAAAAAAAAGTGACATTTTTATTACATTTCCAAAAAAGAGACTAAAAAGAGGTTAGGACACCCATATACCCTTATACTAATATAATCTCACCAATTAGTGCTATAGTAACGTCACAGTGACCAGTAACACCATAGTGACCAAAATTCGTTCAGTGACCAAAAATTCAAAATCCGTCAATCACTAAAATCATTAATACCAAAAATTCCGTCTAATGACCAAATTCCGCCCGTCCAGTGATCAATACTCGACCATTCCAGTTACAGTTACCCGACCCGTCCAGTTACGGTTGCCCTGTAACACCGCCCCCAAGTATTTGTACTTTATCGAATTATGTATCGAACCTTAAGAAATGAATAAACGCATTTTACGTGATTGTAAATTTTTATCATTTCTTTTACGTGAATAGTATAGTTCACGTGGGGCCCCACACCGGAAGTGGGGGCCGCCCGATATTATCGGGAGTCGGGACCACATATTATATTCATTTGCGTCTATAATATATATATATATATATATGATGGTCGATATCCACGTTGGGCTATAGGAACCATGTGAGTTGGCCAGTTGTGCATATAAGGCCCATTTATCGATATCGGCGTACTGACAGATAAAAGTCATAATAAATTATGGAGACCGCTAAATTAAAAGTTGGGAAATGTATATTCATTCCAAAAGCAAATAATGATTGGAATAATGATGTACTCCCTCCGTAACTTAAAAATCTTCCCACTTTCCTTTTTCGTCCGTAACACAAAAATCTTCCCATTTCTAAATCTTCCCATCATACCCTCAATAATTCTTAAAATAATACACTATTACAACTACTTTTTTTGGATTTATCCTACATTCCACCACATTATTCCACTATTTTCCCATCATACCCTCAATAATTCATATCATCTTTCACTATTCTTAATCTACCTACTTTTGAAATGGGAAGATTTTAAAGATACGGAGGGAGTATATTTTATTTGGCCCAATAAAATGAAATTTAATTAAGACAGCCCGGAAAATACAACTTTCGGGACCGAGTGTACACTTGGGAACACAAAGGGATGACCTCCCACACATGTGGGGGCCACCCCACGTTTTAGTCTTGCAAAGGAAGAGGAGAGCCGCACAAAGAGATAGGAAAAGGGGCATGAGTTGATTGGGATCAAAAACAATAAAATAAATGGGACCCCTCCCATGTTATCATTGAGAGAAATGCCAAAAAGGCATTCTCAATCACCCCAACTCATACAGCTTGTCCATACCACCCTCCTTGGTGAGAGAAACTCTGAAAAAATCCATTGTTACCATCCATACACGCACCAAGAACAAGGGAGGAAGAAAGGAGGAAGAAGAGAAGAGAAAAGAGGATTTTAGGTGGGAAAACTTGTGGTTAACAAGGTAATGGCTTCACTTATCCCATTTCTTCTCTTTAATCATATTTCATACTCCTAGGATAGTTCTACACGTTTAAAGGTGTGGAATGAGGTTTGAAAGGAAGTTCTAAGTCCAAGGACGGACTTAGAGAACAAAGTTGACGGGTTCGTCGGAAAATAACCTTTAGAGGTTATTTGTGTTGATATGAGTTTTATGATGATAAAACCTTGTTATTAACTTGTATAAGGTATTTCAAGAACTTTCACGGAGTTCGTTGAAGTTCGCCGGAGTTTCGTCGGAGCTCAATAAGAAAGGCTAGAACTCCATAAGCTTCATTAAGGTGAGAAGACGACTATATGCTTTATAACTTTTGCGTGATGCATGAGATTACCTAAATTAATCAAGAATATGTTTTATGAATTGATTAATGATATTAAAGCATGTGTTAGGACATATTAAATAATATAACATAGATGCAAAGCATGATATGTAAAGTTTGATTAGTGAAAATATTATAAATTTATATGTATGATGTTCCAAGGACCCAAATATGTATTTTTGGATTAAGGACGTCAAGAAGTATATGCATGTAAAATTTCACAGTAATCGGACTACGTGTGGGCGGTCAAACGGGCGTTGCCCGCCAAGTCAACTGTTATACCCGACTGGGTATTGGCATATATCCGACCGGGTATTAACTGAAAATAGCCCCAGGGGCTACTGCCTTCTATACTCAACCGGGTATAGGTGGGTATCCGACTGGGTATTGGGTTTTACACCCAAACGGTCAGACCCGTCCACGTTGATTATTAAGGATTATTTTGTGACTTTAGGGCTAGGTGTTGTCCATAGTTAAAAGAATGAAAGGTTAGCCATATCCAGGTTAGGGTTTGGTAAGGAATACGGTTGGGGTTGAGTATCCCCGAGATGGTAAATGATCCTGAAACTCGGTTGGGGTTGAGTATCCCCGGGACGGTAAATGATCCTGAAACTCGGTAGGATATTATGAATGTAGAATGTAGCTGGTGAGCTAGGCATTCAGGAATGGATGGGAAGGGCCGGGTAAGTACCTTGTAACACCCCAAATTTTCCCACACAAATAGCTTGGAAATTTTATAATAAAATGATAACTTTATTAAGACAATTTCAGCGGAAGTCTTTAACAATGAAAATTTAGAGTGTTACCGCCACACTTAGCAAAACATGGCTAAGTGCATAGGCAAATAAAACCAATGTACTTAATAAAATAACACGTGCGAAGTAAAAATAACAAAAGTGATCCAGAGTGATGTTCTTAAATTTAAATAAAAGTCTTCCTAGAGTATCTTCTAATGGACGCTCTCAAGTCTCTAACCAAGCACATCATCCAAAGCAATATCATCTGTAATTATAGAGAAAGAAAAGAAACAAATAACACAAAAATTAGCTTTAGAGCTAAGTAAGTCCCACCCAACCCCGTAAAATAATAGGTTTGGTGAAAATAATAATTTGTATACCATATATACAAAAAAAGTAGTTTAAGAGATAAATTTCATGGTATACCTTTTTCAAAAATGGATGATCCTTACTTTCATTAAATAAAATATTTTCTTTAGTAATGTTTTAAAATATAGTTGTATCAACCTCCTAATACATTTGAAGGGCGGTGCTCAACATTTAATTGAGCCCGATGGTCCGTTGTTATGTACGGCCACCCCGGGACTTTTGCCGGTACCACTTCTAACCTGAGGAAACTGAACCTCTACCTTAAGTGTGCACACCCTCTAAAAGGGATTCCAAGCCCTCCGAGTAGTAAGAAGTCCAAGTAGTTCGGACGTCAACGTCCCCCTACTCCACCAAAAAGGGATTACCCTACATAAGTGACTAGGTTACTGCTACTACTGAATAACAGGGTCTTTTGCCCGGATTTTGATTATTATAAAATAATCACTTTAACCAATCTCCACAGTCAAGGTCGTGGACACCAAATCCCAACTCTTTTCGAGTAAACAAGTAATAGCAGTCCTAATCACTCTCCACAGTCAAGGTCGTGGAGGACACCGACATCCCGGATTTCTCCCGTGGTGCCCTTACATTGAAAGGTTCATTTTATCTTTATATTTTCCAAAAATTTAGGGATTACTACTCACGAAATTTCCCAAAGTTATTCAATATTCAACAATGCATCACATATTCATAAATTGCTCAACAAATAGTCAAATAGTACAATTTCACATTCATACATACAATATATACGAGGTAAAAATGCATTTTGGTTGCAATGTGACTTACCTTGGAGTGTGATGCTCCTAGTTCTCCTCGTCTATTCTGGTCTCTAAATAATCACCTTATTGATTAAAATGGTATAATTAGTTACTTATTCTATTAGTAATAACTTATCGGATTCCTTCCTTAAATATTTTTATTCGAATTTATTAATATTTAATTATTTATTTGAAGTATATATATTCTTTAATTAATTAGTTACTTCTATTAATCTTATCACCTGTTCTTTTTATCCACCTTATTATTGATTACCGTATCTAACTCATTCTCTTTTATTAATTAATACATCATTCGAATAAAATTTTGTTATCTAGCTCTGAGTTATATTTCAATATTTATTAAAATATTCAGAGATTGAAGTTACCTTAATTTATATTAAATCGCCATTAGGCATAGTTATTAATGCAGTCCAATTCTTATAAAATGTCCGAGTAATATACTTATTATTCAAATATCCGAAATTGTATTTATGTGCTAAATATTCTAATCACTTTAATAATATTTTATTCTAGTATATCCAATTATAAAAATATTCCGTACTTAGTTTAGTAACCTATGATCAACTTTTAATCCAACAGTTCTGAATAATGATAAATCTAACTAATGTTTTAATTCGTGTATTATTTTAACTACTTAAATCCACTAATCTTATTATTGTACATTCTGAATTTATCCTATTTAAAGAGTAACCAATCTATTCAAATAATCATCAACAATCTAGTCCAATTTTATACTTGAAGGTTTTCATACCAGACTTTATTACCAGGTGATTTATCATTCCTTAATTATATTATCATTAATTACAACACTGTCAGTCTGTTTTTATTATTAGTTCGGTACTTAAAATAATCGGCCGGCCTAACTATTAGCAAACGTATATAGCCCGGCCATTTGTGCTATTCCAGTTCAGTCCACTAAATGATTCAACCGTCCAGTTGTTTATATGATTTTGCTAATTGGCATAAATGAATATAATCAGCCCAGATTTAACCAAAGTTATTAATACCTACAGCTTACTATTTAATTTTGTAATTAAGCATTCCACCCAGTTGTTTTATAAGTTTCAATTAAGTACTTGTTCGCATGAACTACGTACGTATATACTACTTCTTAGCTTGTTCATTGTCTTCTTCGCACAGTCATCGGAAAAACACAAGGGGTAGCCGGCTTACCGTATTGATGGCGGAAGAGTTGGCGCGATGACAGCAGAGGACGTCTTCGGTCGGCCCAGTGCCAGAGCGGTGGTGTGTCGGCAACAGTAGCTACCACTCCGATCGTGAAAACCAGTCCGGCGGCCACTGCGGCGAGCGACTTCTCCCTCTTCCGTCGATCGTTTCTCCTTCCGTCACTCTACTTATCCTTCCTCTTACTCGTAGAGGGTTAAGATAGTTTTTAGCTTTGGTGTTTGGGTTTATCACAAGGTTTGGAAATCTTGTGTGTGTAGTGTCTCAAAGTATATATGTATGTATACGCAGGTATGCTCCAGCTCTTGTGTATTTTGTAGAGGGTGAACACAGGTGTATATATATATATATAGGTAAGGAGGAAGGCTCTCATCCATCCGTTAGGTATAATATCAAGATGAATCCGACCCAAGCATGTGTGTGCAGCTTGTATCTTTTGTTCTTATCGGAAGTTTACTGATGCAGAACATGGGCTGTGGGTATTCAATCATATTGGAACCCATGTGGTTGTGTAGTTCTTATTATTTATAGTATGTATTACTCAGTAGCTTATTTTACCTATATGCGAATGAATATATTGTCTGTGGCATGGTGTAATCCCCATGTATGTATATATGTATGTGTGTGAGTTTATATATTACGGGTATTATTATTTGAGCTTGAAACTTAACCTTTGCATGTTATTTAACTAGAGTAATTTTGTGCACATTATAAATCAACACTTGCATAAAAATATCACCTTTTATTATTTATATATAATTATTATTGTTACCAGAGACGTCACATTATATTTAAGTCAAAGTTTTATTTGGTCAATTTCATTATTATAAGAATGTTTCTTTTGAAACATTTTATCAGATAAACATTTATTTTATTTTTATTTAAATTTTTCGAAGTGTCACATACCTTATATCTAAAAGACTCTTTAAGTGAAAATGAGCTACGTGTCAAGTATTTTACAAGTATATACGGTATGTATCATCTTGTGGATGGGGTAACGATGGTTACACCTATACATATATGTATCACCCTATTTTTGGGTCTCGTGTCTGAAACATTAGTTATTCCTCATATATCCTGCTTGTCACTAGTACTTTCTATGGAGTACTGACCCCTTCGGGGGCCTCACATTTTTCAGGTTAAGGCTAGAGTCCTATTCCTGCACCTTTGCCTAGGGTGATCATCAAATAAGGAAGACGTGGTTCGTGCTTCCATTCTTATTTGAAACCATGCAACTGCTCATGGATGTTTAAACAATGTTCCTATTAAACTATTGAAGGACATGCGTGCTCATGTTGGCCACGTGTGGCTAATCATCAAACATATTTTATTTCTCCATTTGTTTGATTAATATATTGATGTTGATTGTATGAATTTACTAATCGATCTGGCAATAGAATCTATCGGACGCCGTGTATGATACATTAAGAATGAACTACATTGTTCTTATTGGGTTGTACGGCGGTTGTCTACGTGGCACGGATGCGGTCCGGGGCGTGACATACCCGACCGTTCAGTTACAGTTACTCGACCCGTCCAGTTACAATTATCCGACTCGTCCAGTTACAGACTTAAAGTTACCAGATTCACCAATTATAATTACTTTGACCAGTTATAATTATCCAATCCAATCAATTACCGTTACCGGATTCGATCAGTTACAATTACCCGCGTCAACCACTACCTCCGCCCATAACCACGTCCAAGCCCCTACCTCACCCAACCCCCTCCATTGCTTCACCCCCAGCCTCCTGCCTCACGTAACCCCTGCCCTCACCCATCCCACAAGCCCCCAGCCCCAACCCGCACCTCCACCCTCCACAATCGCATTCCAATGTTCCACCACCACACCCGTCTGTACCACCGGCACCCTGGTGAGTGACACGGGCAACTGCTCACGCCCCTCCCCAACCCCGCACCCCAACCCTATCCCCCTCACCTACTCCCCAGCACCTGTTTCCCTTCTGCATTGCCGCCGACCCAATTTTGAAAACCTAATCGCCAGATCCTGGCCATATATCTAGAAACGCGGACAAAGAAGTAGAAGCTCTGTGGGGAGGCGACATGGGGTGGCGACGTTTGACAAAGGAGGAGTCGACAGAGAAGAAGAAATCAGGCATCGTTGCTGGTGCAAAGGAATGGAATGCTGCGGTGGTGCTGGTGCGATTGGCAAAGAAGAAACAGATGAATGATGGAGCAGATGTGAAGGCAGAGAGATGTGATGGGCGATGGAGCGATGGACGAAGAAGATAGATGAGGGAACAGGGCGAAGAGAGAGCTGCTTAGATGGTGTTGGGGAGCTGGTGCGCTGGGAAAAGAAGAAACGACGGATCAAGGAGGGAGCTGGGGAAGGATTAGGGATATTTGAGTCCATTATTAATATAATTGGTCTCTTTTTTGTCCACTTCTAATATTGGTCTCGTTTTTGTCTAAGGAGATGCGGGAGGTATCATTTTTGTCTTTCTTTATTGGTATCAAAGTGTTTTATGTGTTTGAATTCCGTAATCACAAGAGGTTGACGCCGTTAAAAACGTCTGAAAAAACCGTTAAAAATAACTCCGATTTTCAAAAGTGCTCGAAAAATTAAAAGAAAAATACCGGAAGGTGCGCCTCAATAAGACGACCGCTAGACCATCTTTCTTTTTTTGTTTTCAGCCACCCTTGTCACCGGAAAGTCCACCGGAAAAGTGATATTAACGAAATCATTTTCAAAAAATAATTCAAACAGTTCCAAAAAATCCATAGGCCAAGGTGGTTTGGATGTCATCTTGACGAGGCGCACTTTTTGGTATTTTCTTTTAATTTTCAGGGTATTTTTTAAACCGCAATTATTTTTAACGGTCTTTTTCAAACTTTTTTAATGGCGTGACCCTCTTGTGATTACGGAATTCAAACACGTAAACCAATTTGATAAAGAATGAAACACATGACCGTATCTGAAAACGGGCCTATGGACAAGTACCTTTTCGGTACTTTCCCCCCTTTTTTCTGAGTATACACATGCCGTTTGTTAACCTTCGAGTAAAAGTATCTTTCTTTTTTAATTCTTTTTTCATCTCGGGTATATTATAAATTTTGTTTTTCAATTGGCTTTTTAACTTTTGCCAAAAAAATGTCTTTTTGACTTTTACTCACAACTTTAAATTCTTTGTTTTTCTTTTTGACATTTTGTTGGTTTTTTTTTCTTTTGAGCTATTACCTCTGTCTCACTCAACTTTGTCAAAGTTGATATTGGGTAGGAATTGGAATAGTAAAAAATGTGTGGTTGAGGTTCGTGTACAGAAAAGAAAAATTAACAAAGTCACAAATTCATTGTTTTAAAAGGAAAGTGACAATGCCTTTTGGGACAAACAAAAAAAATTGAGATAGTAAAAACTGTGAGGTTAAGGTTTGTACAAATTCATTGATGTTGGGTGGAGATTTGAAATAGTAAAAATTGTGTGGTTGAAATTTATGTGAGAGACTTCTTTTTAACAAATCGTTACATATTTTTGGTGTTATTCTTTGCTTTACATAAATAAATTGTTTTCTTACTGAGTATGGTGTGAACGATGTTCATGAACGCCTTGTGTGATTAAGTGAGGTTGACTTGCGAGTGACATCACTTGATCCCACGACGGTTGTACAAGCGCTTAGATGCGGTCTGGGGCGTGACAATTAAGTGGTATCAAAGCGATCTCAGTCTCTAAACTATGTAATCAACCTCTCACAAGGGATTTTACAAAAGAGTTTTATCGAAAACCATGAGCATTGTATTTTGGCGTTTATGGAACGATTGTTACCCAGGTTGCAAGGTCTCTAGTTGTTAAGACGGTACCCTTATCAATTGGTATGGCGGTGATTTGGGCCAATGCGTGTCTATAACGTTTTCCGTCAATTGACATTGATCGGAGTCTAATGACTCGTTCGAATTCCTTTTCAGAAATGGAAGGTAGGCGTATGCCGACAAGAAACAATCCGAGGGGGCAAACACCGGTAACTTCTATTGGGGCTAGACAGGCCACATGATCGGCTTAGACTTGCAAGTGTACAAGTGCCGATGTAGTAATAAAATCCGGTAAAAATACCGAGTCGAACACGAGGAAACGTTGTTTATATGATTCAAAAGTTGAGAATATAATTTGTAAAAGACTTGGTAAAAGAGTAAAGATTTTTGGTTTTTCAAGTGATAATAAAAGCAACCAAGGGTTCGGGATTACTCCTAAACGACTCCAAGCGATTAATGTATATTCTTTCACCAATTCTTATGAGTGGAATGTCGCTAAAGTATTCTAACTGCTGTTACGGCAGCGAGATTGTGATTAATTCTACGTGTGAATCACGTCACGGTTCACATTCATCTAAAATTAACCCCATTGGAGATTAGGACATTATTACAACCACCATATTCAATTGAGGTATATTTCTATCCACAATTAGAATATGTCTAGCCTTTAAGTGCACGGTTTATAACTCAGCGTTAATTGCTCAAATAAACCCAACGATATAATCATACGTTGTACACCGTAGTCATACACATTAAAATAAAAAGGAAAGATCATAATAATTTGGTTGAGAGCATACATCAAACACCTAGAGTGCGTAAAGTTTCATCCCTAACCTTGGCTATGGAAAATTAGCTAGAGCAACTCATAATGAAATTACAAGTATTGAATTGATGAAATACAATGAAATACATAAGAAGATAATACCACAACTCCGAAGCTATGGTGGATAATGGGATCCCCAAGTGTAGAACTTCTCCCAAGACCAAGGGGTTGATCTTGGAGTGCTAAAATGGAAGTAAAGTGTATGGAATATATGGAATGAACACTTGAGAGGGCTTCCATATGCTTAAATATTTGGTCTTCAAAGGCCATTTTTAGACAAGGAAGCAAGCTCCTTAATTGGATTTGGAGCTTCTCTCGAATGATTGTGATGACCGTTGCTTGTTTTAATCAATTCCAGACGAAAGGCGGTCGACTTTCGCAAAAGCCGGGCGGCTTTTGCGCGTTTAAAATGCTGCTCCTCCGCTCCAGGGGTCGAAAACTGGCCGCCATTTACAAAAGCCGGGCGGCTTTTGTAATTAAATTCTGAACAATTCCTTCGGCGACCAAAAGTCGGCCGGTGTTCACGAAAGCCGGGCGGCTTTCGTCCTTTCTTGCTCCGGATCAGATTTTTCAGCTTTGGATGCGAAAATAAGCTTGCGGACCAAAGGCCGGCCGCCTTTGGCATAAACCGGGCGGCTTTCGTCTGTCTTGGGCCTTTTTGTGGTCTTTATTTGTTCCTCGGGATGCGTTTGGTTGACCTTTTTCCGTCGGTTTCTTCGTGTGTATTCTACCATCCTTGCATTTGATCCATTTGTTGATTTAAAGAACTTCTAGCAAAACGAGGCATATGTGTGAAGATTTAATTCTTTTAAGTATAAAAGCGTTTATAAATGATTGTGTAAAACACGTTAATAAAACGCTTATCAAATACCCCCACACTTGAGCTTTGCTTGTCCTCAAGCAAATTTCAAAACTTTCTATGAAAATATTAAGGCAAAACCTTAAGAAAAGTTTCTTTTGAAAAAAGGGTTTGAAGGACAAGGGTTTTGCTAAAATATTTTTCAAAAAAAAAAATATGGACCAAAAACGAACAATTTTTTCCAGTAAAAACCTTGCACATTTTTCAAGTATAAAGTCACCCCCCACACTTATTCCACATTGTCCCAATGTGAAGCACAAGAGTACTTAACTGCAAAGCAAGAAAATAAGCAATCAAACAACACATAATAGGCACAAAAGTAGCACAAGGAGTTCAAAGAAAGACAAAGAAAAGGTGGTTCAAGTTTAGTATTTTTAGTACACTTCCCTTGTCATAACCTACTCATCTCCTTCATTTCCATCTCCTTGGGGAGGGAAATAAAAGTGCGGGTCATAAGGTGGCGGTGGTGGAATGCTGAAGTGCCGCCCTAACTCTTGGCAATAGTAGTTCATGTTCCAAAGATGACTCCCCATGCCTTCAATAGCCCGCCTTTGGTCCCGCAAATCCCGTCGATGAACCGCAAGCTCCGTATGAATTTGACCAAATTGTTCGGTCAAATAGTCCATGTCGTAATGAGTTCCGGCTTGAGGTACGTGAGGTGCCTCTTCGTGGTGCTCCGCATGACCTCCTTCGGGCTCTTTACCTTCCATCATCTCATCCTCATTTTCTTCGGGCACGACTCTATGGAATCTCTCCACGCACCTCCATGGTCCTCTGTGCGGCGGTTGGAAATAGCGAAGGTGTATCATGACACTATCATCAAGCACGGCGTGTGTGTCCCGTTCTTCTTCCCCTCTAAAGCTAACACCAAAATGCTCAAAAATGTTAGATAGTAAAATAGGGAAAATGAAGGCCTTATCTTGGTTGGTGCTCAAAGCCGCGCTCCACAATTGTTTTATGATGATGCTTGATAGAGGAATCCCCTCACAACGTCCAAGCCCGGCAAGCATCCTATACGCGAAGTAGAGGTCGGCGTTTCGAATTTTGTTGTAACCACTTGCTCTCGGCATGACGTTGAATGAGTAAAGGTACATCAAAAGCCGGGCCCGGATGTGTGGTTGACCAAGGTTCTTGGTCATAAGCTCGTGTCCTTGCAAGCCGAAATATTGCATCGCATCCAAGGGGTTGTAGCTAACGTCGCTATTCATTGCTCCGGCTTGGGAAGGGGCGAAAGGAATGCCGTGGTTGGTGATGTGAAACTGAGATCTCAATAGGTCATTTGTGATAGTGATTTTTACCCCTTTGACCCGGCTCTCAATCATCTTTTGGGGGCCATTTCCCTCAATATTTGCGAAAAATTCCTTGACGAGCTCCGGGTAGAAGGTGCCGTCAAGATGTAGCACCGGCTCCCAATCGATATTAGCGAAGGCCTCGGTGAGCCGGTAGTCGTGGTCAATAGGTTGTGACACCGTCTTCTCAACAACGAAATCGTTGTCCCTAGATTCCAAGTACCGTTCATAGCACTTGGTGTTGACAAACCGGCTAGAAGGCAAGATGGTGGAGGAGGCCGCGGGTGCCTTGTTGTTCCTTGCTCGCTTGGGATTGCTCGGGCCAGCCTCGGTGCTAACGGACTTCCCCTTTGGAGCCATTTGAACCTACAAACTCAAACAATTCTAGTCAATGTTCTTAAAAATTTGACAAAGTTTCCCCTAAAAATTGACTTTAATCACAATTCATCATGACAATATAATCACAACTTTACTCAACAACAATTAATCACAAGAATTCAATTGAAAATCCCCAAATTTGAACAAGAATTTCGAACCCTAAGCCCCCAATTTTGACCAAATAGCAAAAATTTTAAATTGTTGAAAATAACTACTTGAAAAGAGGTTGAAATGGTTCATACAAGCAATATAGGCAACAAGAACAAGATATCATGCAATGAATTAGGCCTAAAAGCTATCAATTTGCATAAACCCTAAAATTCGAAATTTGGGAAGAACAACCAATTCTATCGATTAAATGAAGAAAAAGCTATGAAATTGAGTTTAAGAAGTGAAGGAGATGGAGAAATACCTGTTTTGAGCTTGAAAGAGGAGAAGAACGTGAAGAAAGGGGGTTGTCGTTCGAGCTCTCTCGTTCGCCGGGCGTCTTTTGGGAGTTGTGTGCGTGTGTTTGTGTTTAAACAGAACAGGTAATAAAACATTCGTCCCCGAAAGCCGGGCGACATCTGAGAAAGCCGGGCGGGTTTCGATGCCTTTGCTAATTCCGCCTACTTTGTTCAAAATTTGCCTTGAAACTTCACATTTCTTTGCTTTGCTTCTCCCCCTACACTTGAATTGCATCGTCCACAAGCAATAAGAGTATAAAAGCATTGTGACACCCCGAAAAATTTAAATAAAATAAATGATTTTTATTAGTCAGATAAAATATTTCGAAAGTGGCATTTTAATAATTAAGTGAATCAGATAAAATCGTAATATCTATGACATTTTTAATCAGATAAAATTGTTTCAATAATAAAAGTAATATTTTAATTTAAAGAGATGAGTAGATAAAATGTGTACAA